GTCTCCTTGTCAAAGTCTTCGGTCGAGAGACTGCTTGAAGTAAAATGCAATTGTTGTCGTAGAAAATTCATAAATAAATAAGGAATATTTAGGAAGTGTTAGGGTCTCATATAAATCTATACAGAAATAAATTTTAAAAATATGAACTTTTAAACAGCTTGTGTGATATCGTGCATTTGAACAGCTGTTGCAACAGCTACAAGAGCTTGATCTGCGTTGTTTCAAAACAATTGTAATATTATGAACGTTTATTGACAGTAAGAAAGGTTTGCGCCTAACAAAGGCTAAACATGCATTCATTTGCTGTTTTTTTGATTCAGTTTAGGTTAGTGTGACCTTTTTTTCTATCATACTTGTTCCAAAAAGATCATCATATCCAGTAATATGTGCTATTTTGTTGCAGACTGGTGCATAAACAAAAGCCGATGTAAGCAGCAGGATGCAGATGTAAAATGCTGACTTGCTTATTTCTCAGTTTTAATTAGAGCAAAAAGATTGAATAGGTACTAGTTATACTTTAACTACTCTGCCTGCCCTCTGTCGTAAAACAGAAAGATATAACAGGAAGCAGCAGATTCGCTTCACACAAACCTCTCTTACGTTGAAGAAAAAGAAACCAACAATGGCGAGGGAACACTTCGTTGGTTTTTCACCTTTTCGAACTGGTCCGATCCATCATGTCCTGTGTAACACTGTCTAGATCACAGAATAATACGGTCTGTACCCGCAGCAAATGCTGCAGGCAAATAAGCCGCCTGTGACTATGGTATTTTCGTTCCTTTTAAGAGGCGTCTTTTTGTTTCTCATCATTATAAAAGTGGCCTCAATCAGTGAAGCCATCTGGAATAGCACTGTGTGTCCCACTGAAGTCCACTTACATCAAGAATGACTGGGACATGTTAAACACTTTTGGACTTCCAGTGTTGTAGAATAATAAAACGGCAGTATAAAGCTGATTGTTATCTTTATGTTGCGAAATATTTCAGATGATGGAGACATATTATTTCACATCCGGTATACAATTACTTATTGTCAAACATCAAAATAGCATATTTATAAAGGAATAATTCTGTCTGGTGGACATTAATCAATTCGTAATGTATTATGTATTTAAATAGAAGTAACACTCCAATGAAGTGAAATGTAAGAGCAAGAATTAGAACTATAAATGTTTTCTACAATTTTTTTCAATAATCACTTCAAGGACTGCATTTACAATTTGAAATTAATTTCTCGGAATTCAGGAAGCCGTCAAAAAGTAAGATAGCTCATAAAAGTCTTCCAGAAGTTGTCAAATAATTTATTCCGAATTTCACCAACTTATTAATGGTCCCGTAAGATAATTCATAGATTAGTAGAAGGAGGGGAAACTTATTCTTCTAACAATGTATTATGGGATTTTATGGATGAGATGCGACGTTTACGTTGTATACTCTGAATTAAGAGTTCCTAATGTTTTATACTATTGTCTTTTGCCTCGTTACCCAAAGGACTGCTGCAGACTTGTGGATGGTGGAATAGTGTCACGTGATCGAAAGTGTCAATGCTCTTCGATAAGGGTGTCAAGACCCTATCATTTCGAAATAGCGAGATGCAAAAAGCGACTTACTACGATAACTCCGGAATATTCGGCGGTTACACCTACCAAAAGACTAACGCATACAGCTACAATTCTAGCCACCAGGCCTACCCGTCATCATCAGTTGAAAGTGATTATCAAACCTCGACGTGCCCCATTCAGACATCTAGTGTCAGAGTCCCAAACCATAAACCCAACGATATTAATGGCAATTGTATGAGAACAAGCGGCAGCCAGGGCACTGCCCAGCCCCCAAGCATCAATGAGCCACAGCAGCCACCTCCTTTACCGCCCTCACCCAATGCAAGCAACACCTCAACACAGAAAAGAACCAAGTCAATGTCAAATTCTTCCACCAGCCCAGCTGCTACTCTCACGAAGCAAATCTTTCCATGGATGAAAGAATCTCGTCAAAATGCCAAGCAGAAAAACAACTGCACAGTTGCAGGTATCCTTCAGCCCTTTTTCGATTTGAGTCACATCATTTGATTATTAGGCAGACAGGTTGCCAAAATATTATACTTAAGCAAGAGCATTGCCCCCGGTCTGACCAAATTGGGGCGGCTCAGTAGTTAGCACTGCCGCCTCACCGCGCCAGGGATCCGGGTTCGATTCCACCCTCGGGTGACTGTCTATGTGAAGTTTGCACATTGTGTGTCTGCGTGGGTTTCCTCCGGGTGCTCCGGTTTCCTCCCACAGTCCAAAGGTGTGTAGTTTAGGTGGATTGGCCATGGGAAATGGAGGGTTAAATGAGTAGGGTCTGGGTGGGACGTTCTTGGGAGGGTCGGTGTGAATTCGATGGGCCGAATGGCCTGCCTCCACACTGTAGGGATTCATTGATTTGATGTTTGGGAAGAGTCAAAGATTGGGGCATGTTTAAACATTTTGGTGATCTTTTGTAAGACATTGAATGCTAAGTTACTGCTCGGGGAGGAATGATCAGGAGAAAGGGAATTTCTGAAATATTAGGTTGACCCTTCTCTTTGACACTTGAATATCACACAACTAAATTGTAATATATGTAATTCTTGCATTTAACCCAAATAACCTTACTTTTTCACACTGGACTTTCTATCAACAGAGCAGAATCTAAGAAAATAGAGTTCTTTCAAAACTTTGTTGGCATCTCATTTACATATAATTCAATTTGTTTGTTTTAATCTCAGTTTATTCTTTCATTCACTTACATTTCCTGCAAGTATAAAATTTTGAGCACATATAATCTACAAGTATAGCAGGATAGAAATCTTTCATTTTTCAGATGTGTTCTGGTGGGCACCACCAATCTGCACAACTCCAATTTCTATGGGAATAATTTAAAATAGTTCAACTTCTATACTGAAACAAAATATATATCGATTAATCATTGTACTATATTATTGGATTGTATCGAAATATCCGTGTTTAACATCAAACTGCATGACAATTGCAACTTTTCCTCACTGGGGAATACTTTTTTTGAGGTGAATTTGTTTGTCAACCCCAGTTTTAGAATAGGGAACCCTACAAATCAGACTAACAATGAGCGATTGTTGCACTGCAAAATTTTCGGTTATCACTTCTGAGGAGTCATAAAGTCATAGAGTCATTCAGCACGGGAACAGGCCCTTCGTTCCAACTCGTCCTCGCCGATAGATATCCTAAACGGATCTAGTCCTATTTGCTAGAGATAGCAAGAACTGCAGATGCTGGGTTCAGAGTCAACATGGCGTGGAGCTGGAGGAACAGCAGGTTAGGCAGCATCAGCGGAACAGGAAAGTCGACATTTCGGGTCGGGGCCCTTCATCAGAATCATTTGCTAGCATTTGGCCCATATCCCTCTGTACCCTTCCTGATCATGTAGCCAACAGACACCTTTTAAATGCTGTAATTGTACCCACCTCTACCACCTCCCCTGGTAGCTCGTTCCATACACGCACCACCCTGTGCGTGAAAAGTTCCCCTTCGGTCGCTTTAAAATCTTTCCCCTCTTACCATTTATTTATGCCCTCTAGTTTTGGTCTCCCCTACCCTGGAAAAAAAACCTTGGCTATTCACCCTATTCATGCCCTCATGATTTTATAAACCTTTATAGTCAATTTTCATATCAAATAGTTTTGGGTGAAGTGCCTGTTTTGTTATGTTAGTAAAACTTTTGCTGGAAACTCCGAAGAAGCAATCGATAAATAGACGCTCATGGATTAGGAAAGAGCACTAGGTCGGCGCAAAAACAACTTGCGAATGAAGTAATTTAGAAGTGGCTTCAAATACTTACTTGAATGTTATTGCAAGTAGTAGCACATCTTTACCATCGACATGATGCTCTTCAGATGGTCACGTTTGTCTTTCTGTTCAAACAGCCTGGGAGAAGCAAAATAGTCACAGAAGCCCTTTACAGTTATTTTGCTAGTTCATAGTAAGGATAATAACAGCGGGGTTTCTGGGCTGGGCGTGATTGTTTACAGGTTTATTTATCGGAACCAACATGGTGTTTTCATTTTGTAGGTGACAATTGTGAGGATAAAAGCCCACCAGGTCCATCCTCCAAGAGAGTCCGTACTGCCTACACCAGCGCACAACTCGTGGAACTGGAAAAAGAATTTCATTTTAATCGTTATCTGTGCCGTCCTCGGCGAGTTGAAATGGCAAACTTATTAAACCTTACTGAACGCCAGATTAAAATCTGGTTCCAGAACAGAAGAATGAAATACAAAAAAGACCAAAAGTCCAAAGGGATCATGCATTCCCCCGTTGGACAGTCTCCAGAGAGAAGTCCACTTTTGAATTCGCAAAATAACATTGGATTCTCAAACCAGCTCCCTACTGTCAACAGTCTGAGTTACGAAGCTCCTTCGCCCACATCGTTCACCAAATCCCAACAAAACATGTATGGTTTGGCTGCGTACACTGCACCACACAGTAGCTGTCTACCCCAGCAAAAAAGGTACCCAGGCACAGAGTACGATCATCTGCAGGGCAATGGTAGTTTTACCAATCATAACTTGCAGGGCAGCCCTGTGTATGTTGGAGGGAACTTCGTTGATTCAATGCCAGCTTCTGGTCCCATGTTCAACCTTAGCCATCTTCCTCATCCTTCATCAGCTACTGTGGACTATAGCTGCGCTGCTCAAATACCGGGCAATCACCATCATGGACCTTGTGATCCCCATCCTACATATACAGACCTGACTCCTCATCACACATCTCAGGGAAGAATTCAAGAAGCGCCCAAACTAACACATCTGTAATGGGCTAGCACGTTTTGCCAAGCGATGTCACTTCGCTTTTTTATTACCTCATTTGTATCAAATATTCTCCTGCTACAAGACTGCCACAGTATTTGTCCACCATTCACTTTCTACCTGTTACATTGCTTTCCTGTATTCATTCAAGGGTCTACACGTCGACCATGCCTTCCGTTAAGATCCTAGCGTAATGCAGAATGCAAATAGAGGAAGAATTGCTTGAAATAGGAGCTTTTGAAGGTAAGACATAATGAAGTCACTCTTCAACAACCCTTCTTAATGTGGAATTTAAAAGACTGGTAATTCTAACCTCCACTTTGGTGGATTTTGACCGTAACTGGTCTAACTACCCAGAACTTCAGCTCTGGACTTCTCAGTAATGAACGAACTGAATTGAACATCAATGATATGTATTTATTATTTTAAGTCGAAAAGAAAAGATTTTTCTATTACTTATTTATCCTCGTCTTAATGTATTTATGTGAGATTTATAGATCTTATACAATCTGACTTTGACCTGTTTGATCCATGTCTGTTACAATCATATTTCTCCCCTTTAGTAAACCTGGGATGAAACTAGATGAGAGGATAGTTTTTTGAGCAGTTGTATCAGTGGCTGGTGTTTTTAGATTATATAAGGGTTATCTCTGAAAGCAAATTGTAAGTTATGATTGTAGTAAATCAGAAAATATGTGGCACTACACAATAGACGACACATTTCTATAAGAATACTTTATTTCAATTGTCTGGTACTATTCCAAAAGATATTTAGAATAAAAATGTGTTCTTTGAATAAACCTGGAGCCTTTATTTATAAATACATATGCACCATTCCAGCTGTATGCTTCGCCATCTTGTCTCCTCACTTCTCATTAATCCAAGACAAGCTGATTCCAGCCAATGACTGGTGATGTTCGGCAGAGTGTGGTCTGGTTAAATACATATATTTGCAAAACGATATATTACATTTTCCAATGATATGTTGAAATAATATGAAAAACGTTTGCGACGCTTTTGTATTGCGCTCACCATTGTATCATAAGATATCAAACGTTAAAGAATCAAGCATACAAAATAATGAGAAGTAACAAAGGAGGAGGAATTGTGGAAGTTAGATCGAGATGAAATGTAGTCAACTAGCAAGAGGTAAATAAAACCGTGCAAAATAAGGTGCAATCATGAACATTTCGGTTACCTTAACTAATCTTGTCAATCGTTATTTCGTTTGTTTACTTTTCTAATTTATCTTTCGGTGGAATGTAATATTTCCATTGAAACATATTTAAGGAAAAAGTTAACGGCTTTTGTTTTCAAAAAACACGAAAAACAATCAATCCAAATAAAAAGAATGAGTGAATATTGCCACAGAAGTTATCTGATAAACACAGGAATAAATCCAAAAATAAGCCCCAATCCGTTACCGTTATCTTATGAAGACGTCGACATTATTATGTAGAAAACTGTGTTCCGAAGTGCCCCAGTGTCAGGAGCCTGCGACAGGGAGCTTAGTCCCAGGCATTATCTGCTGACTCTCTCCACAGCAGCAGCCCGCAGCCCCGACACATGCGGCGCCATTTTGTTTGACAAATAAAGCAGGGGCGCTGAAAGCCTTCTGGCAACAAACAAAGATATCTCCCAGCCGTCGAAAATAATGTCATTATTTGAAATAAGGATGAGGTGGGCTTGAGCGCATCTGAAAACCTCAACAGCTTGACGAAGACAAGGTCTAAGCTTTTGTTGACGACTTTAGAGCTTGAAGTCAGCGTAGCAGTTACAATTTCTCTTCAGTGTAAACTCCTGATTTACTTAAAATCCTTGACCATAAGCAAGTGTTAAATATGAATGTAGAATTGTTCTAAGGTACCGCACACAGTTCTTTTGGTTATTGTTATTTTAAACATGCCTATCACGAACGCCAACGCCGCAAAGCGCTTCAGAACGTTGTTTTGTTAGTACACCACCCACTCGTCAAGGAATGTAAAATGTTGACTTTCCAACCAAACATTCTCACACAACAATTTTATGTAAGCCGGAGACCAGCTGAGTAGTATTACAAAAAAGAAATCTAATGATGCATTTTAACTGGGGTTAAATGTTTGCTAATCCCAAACATTTTGTATATGTGAGCACAGCAAAAATAGCAAATATTATGCTTACTAATTTGCCAATAACAGATTACAGAAAGAGCAGCCTTTAGGTTTTAAACGCCAAATAACTCACAGTCGTTGCTCTAAAATGCGGGAAGTTCATAAGTCACTACAGCTGCGCTCGGGGAGAATCCGCGAGATGTTACTTCGAAAATATTTAAATCATTGGCTTGTGGGTGTTTATGAAATTAACAAATAGCATTTAAACAGGGAGTCATTTGTAAACAGGACCGGCTGATCCAGACGGAGAAAGGGAGGTGCTACTTGTTCAGAGTGCAAAAAAATACATTCCAAACCATTTCTAATAGCCCAAAAACGGGGAGGGGTGGAGTTGCAAAAAGTTTACAATGTCTGTTTATATTCATGTTAAAATCCAGGGAGTGTCTGAAAGTGATCCTGTTCTACTTGGCATTGGGCCTCACTGACAGCTCCTACTGTCCAGGGTGCTGTTCTGGCCACAGCTTGTATTCATTCTTCCACACCGTAGAGCCTTGCGATGATTGCCACATCTCCGAAGATTAATTGATTTGTCGTTTATTACTCCACGCTACACATATGTAGGCAGAAATCTAGACTTGAGCGTTCTTTTCTTCTCAGGACTAAAACCACCCACCAAGTGATGCAGAATGCTTTGTAACAGTACTGTACACTTGCTATCTTCTAGAAATGACTTTGCACTACTTTACAGTATAAACATGGCCTGGAGACCGCAGGGAAATGCTGCCTATACCTTTATATATTTTATTTCAGAATCATTCAGAAAGCCAGTCTTATTTTCCACCCTTGTCATTGGTTAAGGCGATCATGTGACGATAAAATCAGCCTCATCTCAACATCGTGTCTGTGTATTCAATAGACATAGTTTAATATTAGCACGGTCCCTCAGCGTTTGTAATCAGTACATTTTATAAATTTACATTTTCAAAGAAACTATCAAATAAGCAATTTTCTACCGATTCTGCCCGGGCAGAAATGAACAACGGGTTTGAGAGAGAGGTTGGTTTTATCAATAGTGAACCATCGCTTGCCGAGTGTCTGACATCCTTTCCTCCTGTTGGCGAGACATTTCAAAGTTCATCAATCAAGAACGCGACGCTTTCACATTCGACACTGATTCCTCCTCCTTTTGAGCAGAGCTTCAGAAGCTTGGACCATGGTAACACAAAACAAAATGAGAAAACGCACACTTCAAAAAGCATTGGTCGGGCCACGTTAGGGGACAAACCTCTGGAATATCCGTGGATGAGAGAAAAGAAAAGCCACAAGAAAAAAACTGTCCAAGCAACGGGATCATTCTCATCTTGTTCTTCTAATGAAGGTCAGGTCCATCATATATTTCCTTACTTTTTTGGGGAGGGGGAGCGGGGATGGTGGTCATATTTGGTGAGCAGCGATTTTTTATATAAAGGATTATATTTTGAAGCAGTAATAAATGTTTCGTTGACTGAAAGATGTCAGGCCTGAAAAATGCTTATACCCCAACTATATTCAAAATGTAAACAGTGTCTTCTGGAGCCTACAGAACTCCTAGTATTCTGTGAGTATCAATGACCTGCACATCAGCAAATTCCAGACATCTGTATCTGTTTTCTGCTGCCCTACTGGGCCATTTTCTGCTGGAAGCCTTTTGTGTCTAGGAGGCGGCCATTTTATGTTCCTGGATTATTTCAAAGATTTGTGATAACTTATCGAAACTTTCCCCTCCTTACTACAGAAAATGAAGAGCTTAATGAGCCGGACAACGGGAGTCCTTTTGACAGCTCCAGGAGACTACGAACCACTTACACAAACACTCAGTTGTTGGAGCTGGAAAAGGAATTTCATTATAATCGCTACCTTTGTAGACCACGGAGGGTAGAAATCGCAGCTCTTCTCGATCTAACAGAAAGGCAAGTCAAAGTCTGGTTTCAGAACAGACGCATGAAACACAAAAGACAAACTCGATTCAAACAAAGCCAAAACGCCGATTCAAAGCGCCATTTTGCTAACAGTGTTAATCAGAGTGGGTTTTCCACAAGAAGCTTTGCTGAGACACCTGTAAATAAAACTTTGAATTCGTTAGAGAGCGACAAAAATGCTGAGCAAGATCTTAGCGATTCTGCTCATCAAGATACATTAAGCGATATCAGCAGTGACCTGCTCAGTGTTATTGGCACTTCTCTGATCTGCACTGAGGAAACCCATAGTCATTATTTCCCACAGAGCTCAGATGAAACTGACTCCCTGCTAACTATGCTGAAAAACTGCTCGGCTGGAACGAGTCCTAGCAGTCCAGAGAGTTTCAGCATCCCATCTCTGGAGGATTTAGACAAAATTACAATCGAACCACGTTTAGATCTAATAGAAGAATTACCTCAACTGTCTTTGTTGGAAAACGAGGACACACTAGTTATTCCATCCAACCTGTTTGACTTTATAAGTGACAATTTTAACTCAAACGATTTTCAGCAATTGCAGTTTTAGATCGACATCCCCTTCACGCACACATAACTCTGTTGATATTCTTTAACACTGATATTTCTAAGAGCTGTATTACTAAAATGCAAAGTCATGGCACATGCCTACTGATCCTAGTCTTTAAGGATCTCCTACTCGTGTCTGCATTCTGTTATGAATCCAATGAAACAAGTCCTGAGAAATTTCATGAAGTGCAAAGAATAAAGTATTTTCAGTATTTTATTTTAAATAAGGTGAATATTTCAAGTATCTGCAAATTTTCAAAAACTGGAGTCCGTTTGTCTTTAAAATACAATTTATAAGATAGCTTTGTGTAAGAGATAAGAATTAACGTGGAAATATGCAAGTAAAAGTAAACATCCGGACACTGCTGATTGCTCCCAATTTAATGGTTGAATTGCCTTCGTCCAAAGTTCCAATCAGCAATATTCCTAGAAAATAAAACGAAAAGATAATCAGCAACCAAACAACATAAGTGATAATAGTGACAACTGAATAAAACTGATTGCTTATGTCAAAAAATAATTATTTATAAGGAGATATTGGTCGTTATGGAAAATGCATTATTAAGTTATAGATCATCTTCCACGATTTCCCAATAACGCCCGTAACTATTCAATGTTTTAAGAAAATAGTTTTGAAAAACAATAAGATTAGATTCCTCAATCTACACCATAGATTTTATTTAAATTTAAACACTGAAATAATTTGATATATTTACTTAGTTGATCTGAAAATCGAAAGGGAGGCCAACAGGGCTGATTATTCACACACAAAAAAATCAAATTGATCATTATTCAGAAGCTCAGTCATTACAGAATTAGAAGAAACTGGTACTGATCACAGGTCCACGATGGATGTGGTAATTCGGCTGGGGTATAAACCCATGAAAGACGCCATTTTGTTCGGTCGAATCAAATCTGGGAGCTGAATAGATCAATGCATTGATATCTTATTTAGAAGAACTATAAGGAAGAAAATATCTATACTTATGGCGTTCGAATAAGGAAGGGTTGGCGAGCCCTGTGATATTATAACCACATCATAAAATATAACAACTCGAGTAACGGCCGCTTGAAATAGGCATATTTACAATTTTATTCTCCTTGGATTTTATTTAGAGGTTCACAATAGGTTATCACTAGTTGTGCAATATAATTAAGACCCAAAACAATTCAACTACATTTAGATAGGATATCTGGGTAAAATTGTCAGGTACCGAAAGATGTTTAAAAACAAGCACACATTGGTGGAAGATTTACTAATATTTAGTTTATATTTACAAGATGGCATGTACTTCAACATGGAAAAAGATCCGAATGAGTAAATAACTAACTGTAGCAACTGAATACAGTTCAATGTAATATGTTGCAGGAGATCTATCCTGCTAAACAATTGGCTGCAATTTGATCTAAAAGTTCTTGTATTTTTAAAAGACTTAGCAATCGAATTCACGGTGCGATGAAATCTGTTGAGCATGTTATTGCCTATAAATGACATATAGAAGAGAAATAAAATGCATCACAATCTAACCCAGAAATTCACAAGTTACTGCGAAGGCAAGATGCAATTTATCTTCCTGTTTCATTAAAGGGAATACATATGCTTTTCAACCGTTTACTTAAGTCTGTTTGCAGCATCAGCAAACAAAGAATAACACTCTATTTTGAAAGAAGTATCTCAATCGTTCACACACCCACGCAATTTGTGTTAGCAGGTTTTTGTTGATTGTGTCAGACAAAGATGTGCATCAAAACGCCCACGTTCCATATTTGTAATGCCCAATAAATATTTAATTTTTGAAGTTCTTGCCTTATGTACTTTATTTTCAGAGAAAATAGCGTAGTGCGAACATTAAGTGTCTGCTTTGTTAACAGGAGACAAGACAGTGCGCTTAATGTTTAAAGGCTAGAGGAGTCCTCACTAGGTCGTTTCGTATTTCAAGATTTGCTGTCGTAATATTAAAGTGCCAAAGTTTGTATTAGGTTCGGTTATTTATACGGAGACCTTAAATGCACGTTAGTTCGTATATTCGCTCGGATAGTATCATTGGAATTATACGTTCACAGTATTTTGATTTAAATCTGTGCAAGAAAAATCCTGGTCTCGTTTTGAATGCTGTACCAAAAATAAGGAACCATTTTCTATTCAGTTATTTATACTAGTCGGACTCCTTGCAGCTTTACCTCTGCATTCTAAGGCCGGTCAATTAAGTTATAAGCTCATGTAGTTCTTTCTGCAATTTCATGTATCATGGTGCCACTATAGCGAGGTCATGCCTTCCCAATTCAATCACAGTAACAAGTAATATCTTGACCCTGCATAAATGATGACGTTTATGGCATTTCTATTAATACAAAATATTGCACGTTTTCCAAATATTTGAAACATTTAGCCCTAAAGGAAGGGTGGGTTTTGTGTTTGTTGTTTCTAGTAATAACCAGCAGCTCTCCAGGAACACTTGAGTAAAGGATCACGTGGTAGCAAGATCAGTCATCACACTTCATGTTTATGTGAGCAACTGCCTGATATATTTACAGCCAATATTTCCGTTCATTTTGCAAAAGTGATGGCTGCAAAGGTACAATTGTAAATAAAAAGGAAAGCTCATTTGGAATTTGAAACAACGCACTAACAAACAGGGAGTTTTGCTGAAAGACTTGCAGCTCTGTCTGGATGCATAGCTGTCAGTGGGGTATTGTTAAGAGTTCATCAATCATGAAATCTGCACTTTTCCCTCGACAGCAGTTCCTCCCTCTTTAAAGCAAGCCAAGGCCAGCTGGGATCCCTCCAACAACCGCTGCCAAGGCGGACAAATGCAAAAGCGAATCACACACCAGTCTAATCACACCACAGACGATACCTCCTGTATGACTAACCTTCGAGAAATCTGGAGTCTAACTGCGACCCCTCGTTACTGCTCGTTAAAGAGGGTAAAACGTTTCAAGGGCACCAGAAATCTTGGCTCAGCTGAGAATGCTATGTGTGCTTAAATTATTGTCACGTATGACTGCATTTGTGGTATTGGGTCATTTACGTTAACCTTTTAAAACATGTCACTAATAGATGTGTTTTCATAGGAATCCCTAATGTATAAAACCTCGTACATTATATTTTATTTACAACCCCACTTTTGCTCTGGTCGATCCACAGACCAGTTAATGGAGAGCTAATCTAGTTGCTTGCACAGTAGGCCCAGTGCAATATCTATATTTTTTGAACGTACCTCTGCGCCGTTGCTCGACAACGGTTCAGCCCTATTTACGAATTTAGAACGGCTAACATCACCTCGCCCCAAAACAAATGCAGAAACGGCAGGCAGTTCAAAACAATCTTGACATTCGCGACCAGTTTTGAAAAATTGCAAAACAGCCCCGGTACTTTTCTCAACATTTGATTTTGAGTCCGATCCTGTCACTTGCAGAGATCGAAGGCCATCGTCATCCACCATCACTGACGACCACCACCCGCGCTTCTCCACCCCTAACCGTCCCCTAGGTCCCGGTCAACATGCTACAGGGCTAAAATAGAAACTGACCTAATGAAAAGCCAGGTTCTAAGCAGGATAGTGTGCAAAGCTTCACATATAGATAGTGCACAAATTGCTGCATTAAATAGCCCTAAGAAACTATAGGCTAATCCCAACGTCTATTTGGAAGACATTTGCCCCAGAATCTTTGGCCAGGTATTGCTAGCACAGCCAGGTCCAGTTTGCTCCAGATTCCTGATGATCTAACATATAAATTGATAAGGTTTTACTGATGTGAGTATAAGAAAGTATCGTGCTGTATAAATGCAGAAATACCTTCTGATTTGGGAATGGTTCCTCACTCTACTGCAATGACTCCACACATTCTGCTAAAGCAAGTCGGCAGTATTCTTTTGACCTATAAACAAGGCCATCTTCAATCATACCCCACCTCCAACAGTTTAAACCAGATCATCTACTTTTAGAGCTGATTGCACCTCGAAGAATAGTCGAGTGCTTACAAAAGTTATCACATATACGAGTCAGACACTGTCCATTCTTTTCGAAAACATTGTTAAGTGCGATGAACTTAAATCACTATTAAATTACTAAATAATCAGTTAAATTGCACGGAAGTATTGCGTGCAACTGTCAAAAGAAAACAATTTTCCAATCAACTTCTTTCATTAGTTCAACGTGGAACACATGAACTTCAGAAGAGGTTTTGGAAACTGGAGTGGGTTGATTTTGCATTTATAAATTCTACATAAGCAAACACAGCGGGAATTCATAAAGCGTTGTAATTTTCCGATTAGAAACTATAACGTGTTAAATTATGCAAGTTTGCATATGGAAAGAATCATCTCAAGGTCTTCTGTATTCGTTTAGTAATTTTATGTTCTACTGCTAGGCGTATTGTTTAGATTGCGATACTAGCAAAATGAACAGGTATTTCATGTACTTTACTATTCCAGGCAGTAGCTCAGTCAAGCGCCCATTAATGATTAATATCATATTTGGAAGGAGTTGATTACATACCAAATAGTTATAACAAAGTTTTATACTTTCTTCCAATTTCTAAGAAATCTAGCAAATAGGGCTCGATATTAGTCAATTGCGATTAAACAAAAACATAATTTGTGCAATGACCAATTATTCTTTTAATATATTGCTGTTAACACGTTATTCGAAAAAAAAGATATATAAGATTTATAATTCTGCACATATCTTTTAAAGTAAAAGCTGCAAAGGTATGTTAACAAAATGAGAAAAATGTGAAGTCAATGAGAATGCACGATGCATATGCTGAATGGTCTATGCAGGAATTTGGTCATTTGCAAATCCCATGGCAACTGTATGCTTTCAAAGCCTTTAAACTCACTTCCCCCTGAATTATACACAACACAGCTTTTCAAGATCAGATTAAAACTGCTGACCGCAAAATGAACGAGACAGGTTTTGATAAGATGCACCAGAACAACTCGAGCAACAGAAAAGCAACTGGAACGTCATTACTCAAACTCTCTCTAAGATTTAATTGCGAGGAAAGTAGAGTGCAAGCTCAAATTGATACCCACTTAAAAATAAAGCAGAAGGACAAGTGTTCACTCGTAGATACACGGACAGATAGATAGTGTTAATCAAAAAGATGGGCAAAACAGATATGTTATGGTGTAGGTAGATAGGTTTTACATTCCGAATGTGAAATACCGAATATATATATATATTTTCAGTCCTTTAAATGAGTGAAGAAACTTTTTTCAAACGACTCTAATTCTATGTTTTACCAAATGAATGAGTTAATGACACGGCACCTAACAAGCTGTTGATATGAATTAGACTGCACACTGCCCCTGGCGATTAAACAGAGCAAGTCATCATGTGCTAAATGCACTCACATCAACTGACTCTTGAGTTAGAGCTTCGTTAGTGAGTGTTCTGACAGGTAAATGACTGAATCAAATGCTATCACGGAAATATACAGGGAAAAATATTCAGAAACACATTAGCCAAACAATTTAAATATTTAGGTTTATTTGCAGATTTCCCGGAACACTTGCAAATGTTCAGATCCCCGGGGTCTCATTTGCCGGACATTGCATTTTGGCCTTAATGAAAGTGACATGTTGCAGTTCGTATGATTACACGATTTAACTTTATTCTGCAGCATGTCACAAAGGATGTATACACTAGGACAAATGACAATACAGGATGGGCGACAGCTAACACTGGGTGGTGAAATAAACAATTCAGTCATTAACACATCTTACCTTTTGTGTCAGTCCTTTTTCTTAAAAATATTGATTCCTGATGTAAATATATTTATGGTATTTTACAATGTTCAGTGTTATTAACGACAATTGACAGGCTGCCGATTCAAAATGAAGGAAGCTCTGTATTCTGCGTTCTCTAGTTGTTTAAACAGCGTTCAATGGGCCTGATGCTAGGATTTGTAAAGCCACAAGTACGCGAGATAGACAATTGTACTTCAGATCTCTATTCAACACTTCGAACTTTTAACGATGTCATAAACATGTCATTTAATGCAACTGTGTTCTTCAAGGACCTGATTATTATGTCAGTTACAATGATTTTATAGAGAAAATAGCACCTAACAAAAGAAACAAGGCCGTTTGCTGGCGGTGCATTCTAACTGTACACCAAGGGACAGAGCAATGCAATACCATAAACTCAACTTCAGAAACCAGTGAAACACTCATTTGCTTTTTTTTTCATGCTCTTTTCGTTCTTGTTTTCCCGGTGCTGTAACTATAGTAATTAATTCCTTGGAGCCAAGGTCATGCAATACCCTGTCACAATTGTACACAGCTTTAGTGATCGCTGTAACGTAAACTAGCCAAGTCTACTGACAGAAGACGGCGTGCTTTACTGTAAACGCCACGATCACACAACTGAAGCCTATCATTATTCTGCAGCGGTTACACTTCGCCCACACAAACGAGTGTCTTACCTTAGGACCGGCTATGGGAGATCGTCCGCTGTAAGGGTAAGGTTAGTGAACGCCTCTGCGGCCTGCGCTGATGATGTGATCTCAGTGGAAGTTGAGCATTGAAGAGTCCACTCCTCTCCGTGGATCAGCAAGGAACTACGGACGCCATGGCATCGCTCCGGCGACGGCTGCTCTGATTGGGTGGCTGGAACCACGTGCTTGCCTTGCTCTATATTAGGAATATTTACTTCCTTTGCGAAGGAAGTGAAAGATCTGCTATGGTGATCAGGGATAGACAGCAATCAGCTAGAGCTAAGCATCTAATTCTGCTGTAGCCCATCATTGGAAGAATGAACTCTTACTTAGAATACATTCCCAGTTCAGACATTCTGACGTTTTCTCCTAAGTTCTGTCACAGTAATTCTCCAGCAGTCTCCCTGCAGCAGTGCTCCGGACAAGGTCGGTATGTTTCAACTGAGTCAGTAGACGATCCATCTCCCACCCAACATCACCTTCATCAGTCGATGCCTGCTACTCTCGAACATTCCTATGACTCCTCTCCATCTGCAGATATTCACTTCTTACCTCAGAGTAACGTCGCCTATGACTTTCCTTATGCTGTTAACCAGGATCAGGATGACACTGGGGAAATGCTCCCATACATCACCTCTGTTTACTCAGGAAGCGCGTCTTTTCCGCTCACTGCGCGCCAACACGAATACAACAATGTCTTTGTTGAGCAGGAAACACATCAAACCTATGGCAAGGAGTTCCAAAACTCTTACCCTGTATATGATCAGAGTCTATCGACGTCTCAGAGCAGCTACCAAAGGTCGGAATCTCCCACAGGGCGGAGGATCACTGCAGCAAATACCTTTGAGTGGATGAAAGTGAAGCGAAATCCTCCAAAAACAGGTCAGTAATCTTGCAAACTTAGAACTGAAGGTGCAAACTAAATCTATACGCCTTCTAAAGCTCTCCAAACAGCAACTTTGTATTAATCCTTTCATAGACAGAAACTCGCAACGTTAATAAGTGACCTGCAAGTGTAAAGTACTGTTTAAATAATTTCACCCAATGTCTTTCCATTCCCAATTATATGATCCCTATTAAATGTGTTTGGCCAATAACATGGATAATATCGATGCCACTTTCAGGGTGTGTATGGGAGTAATACTGTGAGGAGAATGAGCTAACCAACTTCTCTGTGCACTCCCAACAGAAGATAATGCCTAACTCTTGTGTGCCTTTTTGTAGCTAAAGCAACTGACTATGGGATCCCCAGCCCACCCAGCACCGCCCGTACAAACTTTACCACCAAACAGTTGACGGAACTGGAGAAGGAATTTCATTTTAATAAATACTTGACACGAGCCAGACGGGTGGAAATAGCGAACGTACTACAACTTAGTGAAACCCAGGTGAAGATCTGGTTCCAGAACAGGAGGATGAAACAAAAGAAAAGGGAGAGAGAAGGCTTTCTTGCCAATTTGGCTGCTGTGAACTCTACTCAGGATTCACCTTCTACAGAAAGTTCGGATAAATCGGACACTATCTCTCCCTTGCCTTCCCCATCAACAAAGAGTTCATCAGAAAATCTAAACTTTGTTGAACCGAAGCAAATGCTTTCAGGAATTGGGCCTTAACTTTCAACATATTTTTGGCCGAAAATGATGGAATCATTAAGCACCTGACCAAAGTTTTCACCTTTATTCTATTACAATACCGGCAGGTGATGCAGACTGGGTTGTTTGCATGTAATGGTTTGAGGTGACTAAGGTCTGTAAAAATATTAAACTAAACTCAAGGGTTTGGCCAAAGTTTTCACTTTGACATGCAATGTGTATCAACACAAATGGCATTAACAGTTACGTGCAAAGGCGGAACACAATCTGTCACTCAACTAGTGTGAAAAGACTTTCTTTCCTTAATACGTTTGCACAAGCATTAAGTCAGCCTTTATAAAGTCTGAAGAAAAGCAAGGCTCCCCACAATGCACCAGGTTTCCCCTATATACTGCCTTGCTGAGACTTCTACTTGCGCAAAGGAAATTGTTTACATGTACTGTATTTTATATTGATTTATGTGTGATGACATTGACGAATGTAATGTAGCATGTTCGACATAGCTCCTCAATGAGAGGAGTTTGCACAATTATGCCTCAGGTTGAAAGGTTGCGGATGCTGCAATGTAACACTGTGCCTATCTAGCATTCTTTCACTGGTAAATATGTTACTTAGCTACTCTACCTCTGTGTTACTTACCATTGTGTATTAAAGACTGGTTATGTTGTATTCAGCTGTATAATGATCTAATTTAAAGCTTTTAATTTAATCTCTCAAATGTTTGCCAGTTTCAGTAATTCTGATTGTACGATATAATGTCCAATGGTAAGAATGTGTAAAAGCGTGGAATAAAATATATCAGAATATATGAATCACTCGAAAATCTATCGCATTTTCTGTACAGAAATTGGACTCAGGAGTTTGGTCAGGATATTTGCTTTGATCTGGAACGTGGATCAAGACACATTTATCAGTGCAGTGCAAAGGTGAACCAAAGTGGTTGAGTCAACCAGTGTAAAATCAGTTTCATAGACTGGTGCAGAAGACAAGCAAGAAGGACACTTGCTGTTTTCGGTTTACTCTTGATTATTCTCTATCATTTTAGTTCAATCAACAATAATCTTATGATTCTGTGATTTTATGATTTCTGTCATCAAAGTACAGTTGATTGTCTGAAGTCGAAATGAGGGACTTCAATTTTTATCTTTTATTGTCATTTTTTGTTACTACAGTTAAATCAAGAATAATGTTTGAAGAACATACTCAGCGTCAGGTCTCCTCTCCGAATCCAGGAAGAATGGGTCTTTGCATTATTAACAAGTTATAATGAGTCCATTTGGAATACACATCTTTACTCAGCAACTTTCTACAAAATGATCGATACGAGAGGGAAAACATTCATTCAGCTTCCTAATCAATTGAACAAAAGATGTTCATATTAGAGAGGAGTGTGCTCAGTGTTGAATTGTTTTGCAACTATAGCTAGCGAGCTAAATCTTAAACATAACGCACAGTTTGGGGTATAAACATGAAGTATTATTGGCCTTGGACAAGGAATGAATCGCACTGTGATGGTGTTGCAATTGACTTTAGGAAACACATGAGAATCTACATAATTCCATAAAGACAACCAAAATACACCAACGGCTGTTCACTCATAAACATCGCGATTATACAATGTGTCAAAATTGTAATACCAGTTAAAAATGACTTCCCAAATTAAAACTATAACAGTTGTGTTTGAATGATCATTCCTTCTGGTGATTTGCAATATTGCAATAATATCCCTAGTTTACAAGCTAACTGAGAGCTGAACGTGGTGATTTTTGTACTGATTTAAGACTTGAGTAATGTTGAATTTAGCACGGCGATTTAATCAGCCAAATGAACTTTTGTTTCACATCACCCTGGTTGTTTAGTTCTTGCTTATAATAGTAATATAACAATTTCACGCAAACATTTGTTGAGTAAATGGCTGTGAAAAGAAATGGCAAAAGACCATATTTGTAAAGTATTTAATGAGTTCGGGATTCCTCAAAGTGGTCTGCAGTTAGACAGCAGAATAAAACGAAAAAAGTCAACCATGTTTTAAAATATGTAGATTGCGTAAAAACGAGCTTTACATAGCATCGTTATGAACAATATAAATAAAATATATATCTTCAGGCTACTCGTTGTTTACAAAAAACATTCTTTTTGCAAGGCAGGGAAAGGGCACCACTAACGATAGAAGACGAACCGCTTGAATCTTGATAATCTCTTGGGTTTAGACGTTTGCTTTTCTGCTTTTATGTATCACTACAAACTGGAGAATCACAACGCAGAATGTCAGTACATATTTCAGATCAACTACAGGTTGTAGAACTCACCAAAGGAGAGCAACTCAAATGATCATGCCGATATTTTACTCTCAAACGTTTGGGCCATTTGGTCCTAACAACTTAGTGTTAATTACTGTTCCTCTAAAACAACACACAGCACTCGCCGAGAAGCGGTATTTCAAAGAATTGCTGAAGTCGTAAAATTTACAATGGTCTCCTTGGGAATCAGCTCGGACATCTTTGATATGGAATCCACGATTCTTTGATGGTGGCGTGCAGAGGACAAACGTACTCCACTGTGCCTAGAGAGAGAAAGAAGTGTTTTATTTAAAACCTAATTGCTCATGATGTTTATTTTGTTTTTCGATAGTGACACATACTTCACGCAAGCCAGGAGACCGGTTTAAAAATTGGACATTTTCGAGAGTATGAATAAGTAATGCTAGGTTACGCCTTGGGAAATGGCACATCCTGGTGCGATTGCATGTTATAAACTTGCAGGTCTTTTGTCTTGTCCCTTGCTGTTAGGCGCCTATTGTTCGCTTTTATGTTATCATACCTCTGATCCCAGTAGTGATTATTCCCCAAAGCCCCTGAAGACGTGGGGGGATGCCAGCGATTTTATTATCACAATACAAAAACTGTTCGTTAACTGCGACTGTATTGTAAGGGTCACAATAGTCGTTTGCACTTGTTTGATATCCAGTTTTACTTCTGCCCTGAGCGGAAGGACTCTTCAATATTTACTCTGCCTGAAAGGGGTTGTGGAAGGGTGAACCATAGCAGGCATCCCACCGATCCCACCCCCAAGCACCAGGTTCACTGAAAGTTCATGAGAGAAACCAAAACCATTAGATCGATCCTTAGTCTCCTGCCATTTCTATTGAGATCAACATATTAGTAAAAATGTTTCAGTACCAGGCATGAAATAACCGTACGAGTTTTCCCCAACAATTGGCTTTAAATGTTTGAAGTCATAAATTAAGGCAATACACACATCTTGTGTTCAGATGGTATTAAAGTTCAAAGTTCATTGTAGCACTGCATGCATGAATATTTAATGTTTCTTTATGATTGACGAACAATTAATATGCCACAAAAGTCTACGCTGTTCATGGCAAATAATAAGGACGCGCCACTTATGGGTATTCGCTGATACCCGTTATTTAGTTTTATTCGTTCTTTATAACATTTTTTTTCTCTAAAGCTTACATATTTAAAGATTAACTAAGTTGGTTGATAGATCACTTCTACGTTTTCTTTTTGGAATTAAAAAAAACATATATGATATGTGTTGGAGCAGGAAACATATCCTTTTTGTTTGACTCCAGTGACATTTTTACCCAGTGTCGCATAGAAAGCATGCTGCAGAAAATGAAGTTCTACCCTCCAGACTGCAAAAGCATTCGTAAAATCATTCGATAGCAGAATTCTCCGTTTTGTTTAAAATGCAGCTGTTTACCCGAGAAATCTCCAACGAATTTCACCATTAGTTGGGCCTTTCGAGTGCGACTAGAGCAGGCTTCCAGCTTGTTCGAATAGGCCGTTATGATGCAGAGTGGTAGCGTTTCATTGGCTCTCCCCTGATTTAACACGCGGGCTTATCCACATGCTGAATGTCGACGAGTAACGTTTGTCTCCTGTTTATTTTGTTATTTATTTACATTGTAGCTGTCACCGGATTAAGGCACTCTTTGAATAATTAGTTATTGCATCGTGTTCCCCAGTGAGCATTTCCACGTACATTCACATTAAGTAAATTCAGAAGACCGGAAATTCAACTTGACACAAAATCAAATCACAAACTAGTAAGTGTTCGAGAAGTTATGTAATTAAATAGGTTAAAAACTTACGTATACGCTTTCGATCGTTATAACAAACTGAGAAATTCCAATCCCACCAATTCCGCGTTACCTATGACACCAGTCTGTAGGTTACAGTTGATAACAAGACGGAATGAAAGCATTTCCTTATCTTGTCTTACATCATACAAATGTATCGAATCGCAGTGCCTAGTACGGTGTTAGTTCACGGTTATACAACGTAAAAGATGCAACGAGAACTGCTCTTGATACGACGCTTGTTATCACCGATCATTCCCTTTTTCAACACAGTAGTCTCCTTGTGTTTATAATAGAACTGACAACGGAACTTACATATTGACACCACCAACATGTTGTGGTTCGTGTATTTATTGGTTTTACAATGACTAGATTGACAATTATCCAATTTCAATGTTTCCAGACCATTTCAGTTAATTTAACAATTTGCTTTCGACTTGCAGCTCCGTCTTTGGCATCTCTTCCTCAAGTAAAAAATGTCAACCAGTAAGTAGCTAGGAGTGAACTTTCACCAATTAGCTCGATATCAATTAATTTCAAATGAAGTTGTGCCAGACTTAAGCCAGTTAAGTTTTTGAAATAGAGATTCTGCAAGCAGAACGTGTCCTCAATCTATCCTTGATCAGGAAAATCAGAAATCCGATGCTGCACATTGTCACATTAACGCTGTTCCTTATACCATTCTCGTACGTGTTTCTTCAAGTCACTCCATTTCACCCTTTGAAACATGCGTTCGTATCCATGGGACTTGCTAGTGGCAAGAAACATCCCATGACATGGTGTATAGTTTGCGTTGAGAATTGGGTTAGAAGTGGACTTTGCTCGCTCTGCAAATGGTTGCTAAAAAAAAATCTATCGCCATTCCTTCTGGTCGTCGGCTATTAAATTTTAGATTCGTTCTACAGACATTAACCGCTAAGAAAATGACTAGTTAATCTGTCAGGACTGTGACAAGCTTCATTTGTTATCCGCTGGTTGCGTTGTAGCAAGAGTTAATTGCAGTATCTGCTGTTGCTGGGATTAGTTAAAATGTGATTCGGTATGACCAGAAATGGTACAGTAAAAATGAACATCTCGTATTAAAATTGAAAGTAGTTCAACCTAAAGGCGTGTACGAACAAACACAGTCCTGACTGAGCAGAATCTGTTAACTCTGGTTAAAGACTGATGCCAATGATAAACTAAATGAGCCATTGTGTCAAATCAGCATATTTAATAATTAATTAAATCCGATAAATCTGAAGAACATAGAACATATAACAGAGTAGAAACGCTGATTAGTATTCTAAACTTGCGGAAGTTAGTAAGTAATGCTTGGGAGAGTAGTTATATTCAGTGCAAACACTTTCTACAGGAAGTGCTTGGATTTTATAAAGCGAAGGAGTAATATTTTGAATCAAGTACATTGCAATCAGTATGGATTAATCTAAATGTGACCTGCATCAATGAGTGCATCTTAAGTATGTTGCTCCCAGCAATCAGCGAAATGCCTGCTAAACACAAAATAATAAGCTTCACATTCCCATTCTCCTTTTGCAGAGACGAATGTTTTAAACTTCGA